TTCATTTTCTGACAGTCAGTTACGGCAGCTTATTCATATTATAGTTAGCCCTTTAACTCCAAATGTAAAAGTAAACAAAAATGGATGCTAGCAAGGAAAAGAGGTTTGTAAGGGTATTTTTAATAAAGTGTTAATTTAAAATATATTTATATTGCTTAATATAGCAGAAAAACGTGATTACGGTGGCACGGAGAAGAAACATAACTTTTCCTTGAGATGTGAGAATAATAAGCACAACAAATTTGACTGCTAATAATCTGAGATTTGCCTGTGTAAACGGTAGTGTTGGAAAAAACATCGATGTTTACGCACGTCGATGTTTCGATGTTTTTGGCGGAGCAACATCGATGTATCGATGCATCGATCTTTTTAAATGGCGAATTTTTTAAATGTTGGCTGAATTCATTAACGCAGACATGCAAACCATCAGTCTCTTTAATTTCACAAGCATACAAGATCAATGAGTTCTTAATAATTCATATTAAGATTTCAGTAAAATAGAATTCGAATTATTGGAATCTATGTTCAAAAACACATTTATATTCATACATATACATACGATGAAATATTTTCATTGAAAAAACACACATAAATACAATCCTAAAAAGAAGCCTGTGACTTAAAGATTTCAAGTTGTGCCAACACCAATAACCTAAAGAATTAATAGTTTCTATTTAATGAGCTTTATTTATCTATTAAAATTGCGCTCGTAGATTTTCACTTACCTATGTGATGATTATAGAGAAAAACATCCAACATCGAAAAAAACTCGAAGTTTGAAATAAATTCAAAAACATCGATGTATCGATATAATATCAATGTATCTTCCAGCACTAGTAAACGGGTTGATTAATAAACGAGCTTTGATTGAGATTATATTTGTATGTGAACATACTATAAAAGCATAAACAGACGGCAGCGTTGATCCGGGTCAACTCGGGAATTAACTGTAGTTGATCCGGATTAAGTCCGAGTTAGTCCGGATCAACGCTGCTGTCTGTTTAAGCTTTAAGTTAAGAAATGATCAGGAGAAACATCCATTAGGTTACGGCTGAAAACATAGAGAAAATTCCCTTATTATATACTTCTTTTGTTTTTTAATGGCACTACAAGCGGTTGTTCGTATTAGTCGGGACCAAAAAACCTTGACAAATCCCGCTCTCCTTTGAAAAGTTACTATAGTTGTTTATCTCAAGGTTATCCAACCCTTTCAACACTTAGTCCTTTCATTTTTTTGGAGCTTACACACTGCGTAGCGAGCAAGAAAAACGTCGGTGGCCCTCTATGTAGCCAAACGATCGCTATGTAAACAAGTAAGAAAGTCTAAGTTCGGGTGGAGCCGAACATTAAATACCCGGCGCAAGTATTAAATATATGATTTTCACCTTTCCGAAAGCTACAATTTTTACATTTCTGAAATTTATATGAAAAGCGGCCGTTATTTTAGTCCGATTTCAATAATTTTCAACGTTTTGCTTTTGTGTGGCAAGCACAATAACCATACCGAGTGTGGTACAAATTGGTAGATCGGTTATCGAGATACATATGTATATGTGATCATAAGTGGGCGGTGCCATGCCCATTTTCCAAATTTTATCATAAACGTATTTCTTGGTAAATAATTGTTGCAAGCATCAATTTTGAATAAATTAGCTTTAATATTTACTGATTTATCGAAGATTTTGTATTTCTCCAAATTTCCGTTATATGGGACGTGGGCGTGGTTATTGTCCGATTTTAAAAATTTCCGGCCATTTGGTATGCTGTACCAAGGCAAAAAACTGTGCCAAGTTTGGAAGAAATTGGTGCAGCGGTTACCAAGATACACACATATAACCATAAGTGAGCGTGGCTATGCCCATTCTTCAAAAATTTATAATGTTCTTATTTTCCGTCTAAAAATTACTGTAGATGTCAATTTTGAGTGAATAATCTTCAGTAGTAACTAAAATATCGTAGTTTTCGTATTTCTGAAAAGTACCGTTATATGGAAGTGGGCGTGGTTACAGTCCGATTTCGTCCATTTTCAATGCCACCTACTTTGGATAAATAGAAACCTACATTCCAAATTTCGTTTAAATATCTCAGTTTTTGCTCGAGTTATCGTGTACAGGGACGGACGGACGGACAGACCTACATGGCATTCTCGACTTCTCTATTCATTCTGAGCATTTATGTATACATTTTTCTTTATCTATCTCGATTCGTTTTGTCTGTTACAAACAACTGTTATGCACAAGTGCGCTCGGGTATAAAAACAACGAGAGGCGATGACGTCTGCAGACGAATCGTTCGTGCGGCCTATCGTACGAGATAGATAATAAGGATAAAAAGTCCGACACTTACTTTTTATGGAGTTCTGGCATTGTTGCCAGGTGTACCTAAAACCCGATATTCGGAACTCCTGTTAGTGCAATGAGAGCAATCAGATCCTGTCAAACGGAGGCTCGATTTACTGTGCACCCACAGCTGTTTTTAGTGAAATGTCAGATGCTAAAAAAACAAGTAAAGAAGTATAATTCCGGGCGAAACCGAACTTTATATACCCGGCTCAGGTATCAAATATCGTCGGATCAACTTTCTCTAAACTACATTTTCATGATAAGCAGGGGGTTCTTCCCGATTTCAAACTTTTTCGCTAATATGCTGAATTAGTGTTAATGAAATAATTGATCCAAGTTTGGTAGAAATCTACACCTTGTAGTTATAAAGTGGGCGGTGCCCCGCTTAATTCCTATACGTCTATAGCAGTCTTATTTATTGTTAAGAGATTGTTGTAACTATTAACTTGGAGTAAATTAGCGTCCTCGGTAATTGGAATATCGGAGTTTTCGGATGTCTGAAATTTACCGTTAGATGGGAAGTGGGTGTAATTTTAGTCCGATTAGACTAATTTTCAACGAATTTCTTCCTTGTACAAAGGTTATTAAGTGCGCCGAGTTTGATATAAATTGATGAATCATTTACCGAGATACACATTTGTGGTCATAAAGGGGCGGCACCACGCCCATTATCCATAAATGTATAATAATCCCGGTTATTGCCCGATTTTAAAGATTTTCAAAAAATATCTTAGCTATGCTCTCGGGAAGGCTCCTACCGAGTTTGGGATGCATTGGTGGAGTGTCTACTGAAATACAGTATTTCATCATAAGTGGGCGGGGTCACGCCCATTTTCCAAAAATGTCATAATAATGCTATTTTTTACTGAAATTCGACTTCACCTACTAATTTTCAACAATTTGGATCCCATATTTACTGAAATATCGTAGTTTCCGCATTTTTCGAAAATACCGTTATATGGGAAGTGGGCGTGGTTACAGTCCGATTTCGCCCATTTTCAATGCCAATCTACCTTGGGTAAAGGGAAAACTACATACAGAATTTCGTTGAGATATCTCAGTTTTTGCTCGAGTTACCGTGTACACGGACGGACGGACAGACGTACAGACGGACGGACAGACGTACAGACGGACGGACAGACAGGCATAGCTTAATCGAATTCTATATTCATTCTGAGCATTTATGTATACATTTGTCTATATCTATCTCGATTACTTTTGGCTGTTACAAAGAACCGTTATGTGAACAAAGTTAATATACCCTTGTGCACAAGTGCGCTCGGATATAAAAATTACGACACAGTTGCATCCTAAGTAGAATGCCAACTGAGTTAGAAGCGCTTTCTTACGACCCAACAACAAGCCACGTGCAATATTCAGAAGCCGAGCTGACCGGATACAGGATACAGGATACCTGTATTTGCTGACGGATCAAAAACAGAATGCGGAGTAGGTACAGAGAAAATTTTCGCATGCGTTTTCCAGGCGGAAATATCTGCGAGGCAGTGAGGTATGTACATAAGAGTGCATGCACCCGGGGATCGGAGGGACCTTTTTTCGTTCATAGACCAGCCATTTTTGCCTTTTTCTCTAAGCTGCAACATCCTCTGCTGACGGCCCTCGTGTGGAGATCAACCATCCCAGTATTTTCTGGATAATCCAGCGACTTTGTGTTTCCCTTTCGAACATCAAATTGAAGAATTATATGTACGCACGAATTTGCGAAATGAGTAGCCTTGTCTTGCCTCGTTTCGTATCGAACGGTTCTTAGGAGTATTTAGTTCCCTACTTGGACGGAGCTTAAAGTTGTTCTCAGTATTATTCTATATACATACATATATTGAAGTTTTAGTTTTGTTTTAACACCAAATTAAGATCAGATCGTGCTGCCAACACCAGCTCTAAAGTAGATGACTACACTTTTGAAGTTATTAATTTACCAAAACTCATATTTCCACCTATAAGATACTGCGAGGTCTTTAAATAATGATTTTTCCAGTGTGGTAGATAATCTTTTTCTGTTCATAGCCGGGCACTAGCATAAAAGGCCTTGAACATTTTCTTCTCCTATGTTCTTGTAACTACGCCGATGTCCACCCCTGGCCCCATGGCGTGTCGCGAACAAATTTCTTTTATGTTTAAACGTAAGGCTAACAATATAGTGGAGCGGCGAACAAAGAGCATCGAGCAAAGCGTCGATTTCAAAATCATATGTTTCAATGCGAGAGCGAAATAGAAAAAAATTCAATGTTTGAATCGATTCGAATCGAAATAAAAATAATCGATCCGACCGAAATCGATTCATATAATTTAGTTACCAAATAAAAGCCTTTTACTTAATTTCTTAAAGAAACAAAATACGACCTTCTGACCAACACTGAAACTACAAAAATTATTGTAAGTATATTTTAAAACATGCATTGCTATAACGGTTTCAATATCTAGATTCATCCAAAAGCTATCAGGTATGTCGCTAAAAGCCTAGACAAACGGGCTCGCTTATTTGCATAATCAGCCTTTAGTTGCATTAACTCATGCATTAACTCCTTCCAAATGCAAATAGGCTTGCTGTAAATGCACTTAATATGTTTGCATTTAAACTGATTTTGCTAGTTTCAATTTGGCAACTCCGTCCAAAATTGACATCAATTTACTATTGTGAATGGTAATTTCGATTGACAGCACGAAAGTTTGATGAAAACAAATGAAAAAGCGGCAAACAAATAAAATCAGCGGTAAGTTTTCACAATATTGTGTTAAAATATGAGCAAAACTAATTATTAAATACATATTTTCCAATTTCAGATGTCCGACAACAAAAAGCGCAGCACTTGGAGCACCAGCGATGAAAAAGTGCTCCTGGAACTATGGGCCGAGTATTCTGGTGACCTGCGGCGCGCTAAGCGAAACGTCCATATCTATACGGAGATGTCCATTCAAATGGCCTCCAAATATACTCCAAAGGAATTGCACGGGAAAATAAGGAATATGACCCAAAAATATAGGTATTTA